TATCCTGCGACCATCCGTTGATGTTAACTGCTCCAACAACTCCAACAACAACAATGAACATTTTGATCATTTGGGAGCGCAAAGTTAGGCTCATCCACCTGCATGTCCTCCCTCATTCCACGTGTGGGAAAGCCAGCTGATATATGTGTGGTGGAGGTGGAGCTATGTGCGAGGCTGGTGGAGGGAAAAATATATGGGCAATGTGGGCGTGGGTGCCATGTTTCGGGGTGGTGCATGGGTGTGTGTGGGTACGGTTGGGGCGTGTGTGAGTGCATGGTTGTGACATGCTGAGGTGGATGTCTGATTGGTGGGGCCGGTGTAGGTGCAGTGGTGTGTTGTGGATACTCGTCAGGAAAAATTTCGGAGTCGATAGCTCGGGTGATTGTGTCCCGTACTGCCCTCTGCCTGTTTAAAGGCACCATTTCCAGTTTCTTCTAGCTGTCACGAGTAAAAAAACAAAACATTATTATGTGTAAAATATTGTTAAACGCATGTTGCATTAAACTATATTTATGAAATGTTGCTTGTAATTGACGTGTCTTACCATCGCATTTCCGTGCAAGGAATTAAAAAAGCCAGCTGCTCGGCGTGGATGTATCGACAAGGGGCACTGGCAGCCGAACCACTTCGGTACTCCCTTTCTTTGCGCCGGTGGCGAGTAAATGCATCCTTAACGCTTTTCCACTTGTTTTTGATGATATTGACTGTGAAAACAAAATTTGTACCTGAACTTATTATTGCTTTTATCTTTCATTTCTTAGGTATTTAGCTACTGGCCAGTCTTAAAAATTTGTACATGAACTAATAATTGCTTTTATCTTTAATTTCTTAGGTATTTAGCTACTGGCCAGTCTTTGGCCAGTCTTCACTACGCGTTCATGATTGGCAAATTTACTGCAAGCAAGATCATCCACGAGACCTGCTGTGCGATTTGGGATGTCCTCCGTGATGTGGTCATGTCCAAGCCCACCAAGGAGGAGTGGGTGCAAGTTGCTGAACTTTATGCCACGTCATGCAATTTTCCGAACTGTCTGGGAGCAATAGACGGAAAACATATTCGCATCATAAAGCCTATAGGGAGCGGCAGTCGGTTGTTTAATTACAAGAAATTTTTTTCCATCGTTCTTTTTGACGTAGCAGATGCGAACTACTGCTTCCGCTATATTGACGTGGGATCCTACGGCAGCAGCTCAGACTCTGTGGTATTTGCCCATTCAGACTTTGGACTCATGCTGTGCCACGGTGATCTGGACCTCCCGGGGAACACCGCGCTGCCAGGTACCGCTCAACCTGCAATGCCTTTTGTTTTTGTAGGAGACGAGTCATTTGTTCTTGGTGAGCATTTAATGAGGCCCTACTCTAGTCGTGGACTGAGTCTGGAGAAGAGGGTCTTCAATTATAGGCTCACCAGAGCACGCAGGGTTGTGGAGTGTGCCTTTGGCATACTCTCCAATAAATGGCGCTTTCTGCACTCGCCAATCAATCTTAAAATAGAAAACGCCATCTCTGCGGTGAAGGCAGCTTGTGTCCTTCACAATTTTGTGCGTCGCAGAGATGGCTTTCTATTTGATGATTCATTGGTGCGTTGCATGGAGAGTAGCCATTGGAGCGGCACCTGTGGTACAGCGCATTGTACCACCATTCAGGACCAATATGCGGCATATTTCATGACACCTGAGGGGGAGGTGTCATGGCAGATGAAGGCAATCCAGTCATGATTTAACCCATTTATCCTTGTTCTTACCTAATAAAGTCTCTTTAAATATAACTTATATATGAGCATTGTTTTTTGTAATGCACCACATTAAATGCACTTGAAAACACTGAACAGCTAAAAACACTGCACGCAGGTCGCATGATAACAGTTTGCATTGTCACCTGTGTGCAGTGTTTTCCTGTGACCTGCATGCAGTGTTGTCATGCATCCGGCAAAACACTGCATGCAGGTCATGGGTAAACACTGCATGCAGGTCTTGGTAAAACACTGCATGCAGGTTACATGCAGGCATGCGACCTGTTATGTGAACTGCGTGCAGTGTTCTCCTGTGACCTGCATGCAGTGTTGTCATGCATCCGGCAAAACACTGCATGCAGGTCATGGGTAAACACTGCATGCAGGTCTTGGTAAAACACTCCACGCAGGTTACATGCAGGCATGCAACCTGTTATGTGACCTGCGTGCAGTGTTCTCCTGTGACCTGCATGCAGTGCTATCATGCAACACTGCACGCAGGTCGCATGATAGCACTGCACGCAGGTTGCAGGAAAACACTGGAAGAACATGGAAAAAACATGGAAACGGTGAAATTTACCTTTTGCTGCTTTCACTTGCTTGTTTAAGCTCTCCCAATCACTGAATATGTTCTGGGCAACTTCTTCCCATGATCGTCGCCTGATGCGTCGATTTTTGTAATCTCCATGCCTCATGTCGTACAAACATGGTTTTGTCTTCACGACACGAATGAACGCCTCAGTATCGAGCAGCTGGGTTGTGGCTTCACATTCCTCCATTTTGCAGCTTCCTCTTCGGCCGAAAAAGACTGGGGTGGAGTCTGTGGCCATGTGCTGAACGGGCGTTATAGGCGCGACTTGTGATGACGCAAACGCGCAAACACTATTTACGTCCGTTCACGTCGAAGTCTATGGCCGCGAACGCGCTACAAAACGGACCAATACGCCGCAAAGAAGCTCATGGACCTTTTCAGGCGTAGGCCATTTTGTAGCACGTTCTGAAGGGCATAAAAACGGAAAGGTGTGAACCATACCCATCAAAACAATGGGATTTTCACGTTTGTACGTTTTGTAGAGCGTTCATAGAGCGTTGAACGCGCGACAAAACGTAAAGGTGTGAACAGGGCCCAAATGTTTAAACTGAGAAAAGAAAATAAGGTAATTTTGAAATTGATGGCAGCAACATGTCTTAAAAAGG